GCTGTCCCCAGACAGACTATTTTAACACACATACACACAAAATGGATGTAACATTATGTGTGTGATTTTTAAATTTAAGCTTTTTTCCAGTATGCAGAACAAAATGGATAACACCCCAGTATGAATGGGTATGTATACCGGTGTGTATGTGTGTATAAGAGGGTGTGTGTGTGTTTGTGTGTGTGTCTGTGTCTGTGTGTCTGTGTGCATACAGGAAACTAAAATACATATATCAATGCATTTGAATCTCTAAAAAGTAAATAAATAATATATTCTAGATCATGTAAGCAGGATGTTAATTTGTTCATTATTTTATGTTGATTTTCTTTTTCAAGTTAAAGACTATGGCTTAAAGTTATGAACTTAATTGAGACTCACAGTATATCTCCTGTGTCCTGTATTTACTTCAGCAGAAAACTGTTATTATATTGGATATATGGCAAAAGATGAAAAATACTAAGAAAAGTGAGAAATATCTCTTTCTTCCTCACACACAAACATACATATTCATAAACAGGCTCAAACACATTCTTTGTCACACATACATTCTCACACACACGCATACAGATATACACTCATCCATTCTCTCTCTCTCTATCACACGCACACACACACACAGAGACAAACATAGATACAAACACACACACACACCATGTTCTCTATTCTATTAGTGTGTCACACATACAAAGAACTTTTTCTAAGGAATGTAATTAATTTTCCTGATTTTTCATCTAATGCTTTCATCTCAAAATATCCATTTTGAAGGTAGATCCATGGAAACATCAGGTATTTAGTACAGGACAAAACTGGTGTGAACTAAAGCTTGAGAGCTGTATGTTCGAAATACAATACAGCAAGTGTTTCTCTTAAAACCTGTCAGAAAAGGATTGGAGAAGGAATGAAGTCCTGCATAAATGTGCTATTTCTAGGCTATTTCTCTAGAAAAAAATATCTTCCATTCCCATTGAGAGCAAGTCTTTAAAGAGTAGGTTTCATGATTGATGATTGGGGGAGAGACTTCCTTTTTCTCAGTGTAGCTAATAATGAGCACATATGTGCTCCTATGAACAACTCCCTCAGAAGCTCTTGTAAGCAACCCAAATGGAACTCAGCTGGTCAACAGAAAAAAAGGGATACTAAAGCAAAAAGGGAGGGGACAAAAGAAAATAATGGACAGTAAAATATGACTGAAATACATTATGCAAATGCACAAACTTATAATGAACTCCATTATTAAGCTAATATAATACATTAAGATTTCATATTTTATTAAATCAAATATTTATTAAAATTATATTTTAACATATTAAAAAGTCAGATTTAATATTTTTCAGAAGATTAAGATGAAAACATCATAGGAAAAATTAAGCAAAAATTAATCTTTAAAATATGAAAATTTGCCATCTTTATACCTGTACTTTTGAACAAGCAAAGCAAAGGATGGAAGGCCCTATAATCCTGTGTCAGGAGAGCTAAGTTAGGCCACCTGCCCTGCATACTCTCCTAGTAGGAGCCCAGGAACTGGCTGAGAACAGAAAAACATAGTACTCACCACAAAGTCAACATCTGTCAAGCCTTTTATATATGAAAAGCCATTTACTCCACCATGCACATCGGTACGCCTTTTCAAAGGCAGTGCATCTTTTCAAAGAAAATACAAATTGCCTATAGCACCACAGACAGCGAATAAATGTTAACTCTGAAATTTAGAACTATGGCTGCCTGGCTCCCAGTGCTTCCTTTTCTTTTTGCTATATAGCATATGCTGTCTACCATAATTTAAAGAAATGCCATTTATTGGCACAAATATATATGGGGAGAGAGAGTAGTAAATGTATATTAATTGTTTCATACTACAAATTCTGTATGTGTGTGCACACAAACATATGTAGATGTTCTCACACAGATAACCCTGTCTTTCCGGTAGGCCCTAAATTAAAACACATTTCTGAGAAAGCAGCATGCTCAGCTTCTAATGAAATGGTAGTAAGAAAATGCAGCTGGAGGACAGTGATGTGTTCACTGAAGAATCATTTAGGTCAGAGTTAATTACAGTTAAGGATTGAAGCACAGGACAATGTTCTAAATTATAAATGAAAACTATTATTGTATCATAAATTCTGAAGTAATATTGCACATCCCTAAAATGTATCTCTGCATTCAATTTTCCTTACAAAGATATATTTTAAGCTCAAGCACAAGTGCTACTTAAAGAGGTCCATTATGATAATGTAGATGCTTAAAAGTTGACTATAGTCAAATACATTACAGGAAACACATACAATGCTAACTGTTAATAATAAATGTATTCAAATAAAAGAGCATCCTGAAAAGTAATGACTAACTACTTAAATAATTGTGAAAGACCCAATCTATTCCCAAAATGTGCCATTTTTGTGGATTTTCAGAGCTCATAATTTAGACTGTATACCTTCCAAATTTTTCTATGGCCAAATTAGATTGAAACTGTAATTGATACAGTGCCTAGATATTTCAAGTAATGACATACTGCAAATAGAAAACCAAACAGCAATCGACAGTTAATTCTATATTAAAAGACCACCATTTCCTGCAGATTGGAAACATAGAAAGAATATTTGCAAAAAGGCAAAGTAAATAAAATGACCACTAAATCTATTGATAATATTGTTAACACATGGTATGCTTTTATGATTAGTTGTACAAGTATGGTTTCTTGGCCATGTAGAAAGGGGTAGAAAAAGGTCAATAAACACAACCATGCATGCTCTATGTGCTAAAGTGTTAGAAGAAAAAAAACTGAATTCTAATCGGAACTGTTAATAATGCGAAAAGTTTCTAGCTAATGAAGCCATTGGTACTGTTAAGAACTGAGTTCTGGCCCAACAGCCTTTGACTCTAACAGCACTATGCCATTTCTTTCTAATTGCACTTTAGCTTCATGCTCCATTAATTGCACATTTACATTAATTTTTATCATTGCGTTCAACTCATCGTACAGTCATGTGCACACTTTCACTGATACTGCAGAATTTTCTCCATATTGAATTACAGATGTATAAAATGGAAATGTTTCCTAATTAAAATTCATTTGAGAGGCAGAACGAGGAAGAGCTGGAGCTATACAGCACTTTCCTGGATGTTAGGACAAGGAGATAAAGATTTAATGTGGACATAATAATTAAATGAGAGGAAGTAGTGGATCTTCCAATAAGACATTCTCAGGAGGAACAAAGTTTAAGGTGCTGCTTTAGCTTTGGGGGCTGTTTTCCCAACCTCAAAATGCAGAAGGGCTTTCATGAAATAGGGATACAAAATTGTATGCATGGGAAACACGATAACAAATTCATTGTAAATGTTTAGCATGAGTAATGACCATGAATTAGATTATCCTTATCCACGTTCACCTAAGAAAACATGGGGTGAAAGCTTAGCTCTGTTGTTGGTTCATGCTTTTGCCTGAATTTAAGATATCTGATGAATTCATTTTAAAGTTGCTTTTGGTACCACACTCCCAACAATGAAGGCACTTCCCCCCATATTTTCATTTAATTTTGTTTCTTTCCATTTAATATGATATAATTTATATATTCCTGACACACAAAATCCTGTCAAGTGCACATAGCTACTTCATGAGAATGCATTATCCTAAGAGTCTACAGTTAGTTATATTAGTATATCAATATGTAATTTTTCCATTACTACCTAAAGAATAGCCCTGGCTTAGGAGACAGGAGGAAGGAGTATATTCAGTGATATTAGTCTACATAAAAACATCCCAAGATGCTAGGTCACTTTCGTTAGTCATGATAAGAATGCCTCCTTGGGTGCATAAATCAGAAGCAAGTTTATGTGGCAGAGTTATGTAAGGAAACTTACACGAGTGCCTGCCCACAAACCATGCAATTTAGAAACAGCCAAGAAACAAAACCGTATAGAAGGAGGGATAAATAACAACATTGTATTAAGGGTTATTATGCAGCTATAAAGACTCAATATGACCCTAGCAGTATAGCAAAAAAATAGTTATGAAAAGAAGCTATTTCTTATGCTCAGAGCTAATTTTCAAACATATGTACCTGTATTTGAAACTTTGAGCATTTCACACATTTTTCTGTATCTGAAAAAAAAAATGGATCCAAACTGATATTGTGGTATCAAGATAGCTGAAAACAGTTCATATCAAGGTAGCCAAAAGCGAAGTTCAGTAAGAATTCATAAAAAGAACATCATCCCCACTGCTGAGAAAGATCTTATAATGGACACTTTGCTCTTATTGCCAAAAAATAATTTACCCTCCAATTTTGCTAGAAAAGGTGAAATATCTATAGTAATATGGTTTCATAAAAATTTTAATTAAGTGAAGGGTAAATTAAAATGTGTATATCAAACTTAGAGTACAAATAGTAATTTCAAAACTGAAACAACCAATTCCATTTCAAGAACATATATTCCACTATCAAATAGTTAATTAAATTTGATTTTCACATTACTTAGAACAAAATAGTATATTTTAGCTTTTAATACTCAAGGGCATCAGTACATGAAAATAACATTTTATCATTCTGTTTAACATAATTAAGACATAAAATAACATAAAAATATGTAAATTTTTTAATCTATATTTGCTATAAGAATGGATAGGAAATATGAAAACACATTCATATAACTAGAGATGGAAGAAATTTTAATGATTGTAAAAATGTTCTTATCTCCCAGTACATGATTAATATGTTATGCCATATTGAATACATACTTCTAATATTTCTTCCTGTTTATAGGTGTTTGACTGAGAATATTATGTTTTATATATAGAGAAAATAACGTAAGAATTCTAGAAACGGTTTAAAGTTTACATAGTAGACTTGTGATCCCATGACTGAAACATCAAATAATAAACTATAGCATAAGGACTTAGTCTGTGCTCAATAGGAGACATTACTATCCCTTTGCACTCATGTTAACAGGAAACACACTAACAAAACTCAGAACACATGCCTCCTCTCTCCTCCTCCACTTACTGCTTTGTAAGTCCTCTTCTGCCCAGCGTGTTTCCGAATTTGTTCTCCATTCGGCCCTGTTTCAACATGCATGGAATAGATGATGTCAAAGAAATCTTCAACCACAGCCACTCTCCTTAATGACAGCTTCTCATCAACTCCAACACCATCCTGGAGATGAAACCAAACAACGACAATAAACAAAAACACATAAGATTAATGAAATTATTTGAGTTTTAGATGAGGCTGATTAAATCAAACTATTTTGATAAAATGAACCAAATCTTCTCCAAGAAAACTCTTGCCTTCTTTCTTCTTTTAAGACACGATTTTTCTATGTATCCCAGGCTGGACTCAATTTCTCAGATCTGCTGCTTCCGACAGAACCACCATGCCCAGAAATCCCATAAATAAGTGTATTACACACAATGAATTATAAAATGTTAGCGAAAACCATGGTTAATAAGAAGTAAATCATATTTACCCATCAATTCCATCTTTTTAGTTCTTTTTTTAATTTTCCATTTTGATTGTTTTTTTTATTTATTTTTCTTATTTTGCATATCTATCCCAGTTCCCTCTCCTCTCCCTACCTCTGTCCCTCTCTCCCTCCCATGCCCCCTGACCACCCTCCCCTCCCATATCCCCCACTCCACATGTAGGGTGATGCTTTCCAAGAGGGGCCATCTAAACCTGTCAAGTCATTTGGAGTAGGGACTAGGCCCTCCCTCCTACCTCTAGGTTAAGGGAGTAACTCTCCATGGGGAATGTGACCCCAATGCCCTTTTGTGCACTAGGGATACATCCTGGTTCCACTGTGAGAGGTCCCTTAGACTGCCCAGGCCTTCTAACTGATACCCATGTTCGGGGGATCTGAGTCAGTCCAATGCTGGATTCCCAGGTATCAACCTGGGGGCCCATTAGCTCCCCCTTGTTCAGGTCAGCTGTCTCTATGGGTTTCTTCAGTCTGGTCTGGTCCTTTCTCTCTGCATCTGGATTCCAGTTCAGCTCAGTGTTTAGCTGTGGGTGTCTGCTTCTGTTTCCATCAGCTAGTAGATGGGGGCTCTATTATGGTGAATAAGTTAGTCATCAATCTCATTATCAGGAAATGGCATTAATAGTAGCCTTTCCACTGTTGCTCAAATTGTTAGTAGGGGTCAGTCTTGTAGGTCTCTGAACATTTCTCTAGAGTCATTTTTCTCCATCTTTTGAGTTCTTATAATGATTCCTAGCCATCTGCATAATTTTTAAATTATGAATTACATTTTAGAGCCTGGTAATTTTTTCTGTAGTAATTCTACTCTAGAAAATTCTCAATCCATGCAAACAGTATTTGAGTTAATGGGTCATGCCTGTTGTATTTAGAAAATAAAAGACAGATAATAATATAGGGTCTCTAATTCCAAACAGTGAACTTGAGAAATAAAAGGTATCTCTCTCCAATTGTAAACTGAGTAGCAGATGTACTAAAAATTAGAAAGCCATTTTTTAAGGCTGAGGTTCTCAACCTGTGGATCAGAACCCCTTTGTGGATCCAATGACCCATTCACAAGAGTTTCATATCAGATAACCTGCTTAGCAGATGTTTTCATTACAACTCATGACAGCAGCAAAATTACAGTTATAAAGTTGCAACAAAAGTAATTTTACGGTCACCACACCATAAGGAACTGTATTAAAGAGTCACAACATTAGGAAGGTTGAGAACCACTGTTATAAGGAATAGCCAGTGTGTGACCAATGGATCTCCCAAACAAAACTTCATATTTTGAGCAAATTGCATATGCATGTCTAAATTCAAGTTTTTACAGCAAAATGGGGACAATAGAAGCTGTTTCGCAAGAACATTGTGAGCACTAAGTGAAATCAAGTATGTACAGCATGTGATCCAGTCTGAATGCTGGCAGCACTTGCCAGTTTAATAATCACATTACAATATAATTAAGGTCATATAGGCATGCCAAGGATCATCATGTCATCTCCTATTCAAGGAGCTCAGTGGAAGAAATATAACTTGACATATAAGGAGGTTTTTATGTTTCAGTTGAGGGATGTCCAGCCAAGAATAAAGAGTTGAAATGGATGCTAAATCATATTAAATGGTAGGCTTGAAACACTAGAAAAGATTAATATTCCACTCAAAAAGTTAATCTTATATGACTGCAGCAGAAAATGTGTTCCTGTTTTTACAAACCCATCTACACCAACATTTGCATGTATACACACAACATGAATGAGCACCCACACATAATGTTCATATTTGGACCCTGAAAAATAACCTGGCATAATACAGCCTTCCCTTGCCATTATTGCTTGAAAACACTATGAAGTACACCAGTTGATTATTCAACTAATGGCCAGCTCTGATAGTATACACAAACAAGTAACATAATACAAATTGAATATATAAATATATATATATATATATATATATATTTAAAGAAGCCATGAATTTTAATTTTTACTCATTTTTACATATACCAACCACAGTTTCTGCCTCCTCTCCTCCCAATTCCCCCCACCCACCCCTATCCATTCCTCAGAAAGGGTAAGGTCTCTTCTGGGGAATCAACAAGGCCTGGACATTCAGCTAATTCAGGATCAAGACCCTTCACACACGTCAAGGCTGAGCAAGTCTGTTTGTGGGAACCCTGGCAGTGGGGCCAGGATCTATCCCTGGAACATGATCTGGCTTTTTAAAGCCCATTCCATATGGTGGGTTGCCTTGAAAAAGCATGAATTTTAATTGTTTAAAAAAGTGTAGGTACACAGGCAAGGTTTGGGAAAAGGAGGAAAGGGGAAATAATGTAATTTTAATATCAATTTGTTGTGAGATATTTGATTACACTGTGTAAAGATATGTCACTGTGATTGCTTAATAAAAAGCTAATAGCTAAGAAGCCAATAACTAGGCAGGAGGGACAGATAAAAATCTTGGAAGAAGAAAGGCAGAGTCACCAGCCAGACACAGAGTGAGCAAGACCTGCAGTTGACGAGGTAAAAGCCATTAGTCATGTGACTAATAAAGATGAATAAAAAATGGGTTAATTTAAGTTCTAAGAGATAGTGGGACAAGTGTAAACCACAGACTTGGCCTAATTAATAATAAGTCTTTTTGTCATTTTCTGTGAGCTTGCAGCCCACATGAAAAAAAAATCTGTCTACATCCACCTTTAATCAAAAATAATTCCGTGGTAGGGCAATTACAACAAGTGAAAGTGTTAAGCAGTCAATGAGTCAAAGGAAAGATTGTCCTCTGATGGCAACACTAACAGGCTGAGCTTTCTGCAAAATGAAAAGCAGGTCTGCTTCTTAATTTTTTTTGTACCTTTTACTTGTGCATGTGCAGTTTGCTGTAGGCTTCGTATGTGGCAGAGCCTGGAGCATCAGGCTTATTTGATGTCATATATGAGATAGCATAGTAGGCTCAACTGCCAGGTCTTTTATCACTCTTCTTTGTGAAGGCTCCATCACACATCACCTGTGATACTGACAGTTTCTAATTTGGCTTCAGATCTTTCTCATAGCTCTTTTTTAAAGCCCTGGGACAACCCTTCTATACTAGGATCCCAAGAATAACATCATTCTGCCTCAGGACACAAGACCAAAGACTACACAGAATTCAACAGTGACCCTTCTGGAAACACACACAGCTTAAAGGGCAGTGTCCAAGAAAGCACAACTGGTCCCAGAGGTCTCATGCTAGCCTGCATCTCCCATCCTCAGAGAATATCCATCCTCCTAAGTATAAATCCAAATTCTAACTCTGTCCATCTATAAAGCCATCCATGAAACTATCTGCTTTTCTCCACATCATATAATTTGTATAAATTTACTCCTATTTCTTTGCCAAATAACCAAATGTACACTTTGTATAACCTTACAAATGGAGATAAATGTGTTTTCTTTCCCAGATTCATTTGAATAAAACCTGTTTATCTGCTTAAATCTAAAATAATAACCTATTTATCTATTTGGTCAGGTATCTGAAAATCCCAAATATTAGCAAGTCCTGTGTTAGTTACTAGAATTACCACATATATGTATGTATGTGATATATTTATGTATGTGTATATATGTACATATTAGTATGTGTATAATATAAATATAAATTATATATATATATATATATAATAGTACTTGATGATACCTACTGTCTAGTGCAGGAAAGAGATATTAAAGAGTAAGTTGCCTGAGAATACATTGTCATTGCTCTATATAACTATTTAACAAAACATAAATTGATTGTATCATAGTATTGCACATCAGAAGTCCAAAGTCAAGTGTCAATAAAGCTGTATTCTATCTTGAATCCCTGGAGGAAAACCAGTCTCTCCTCCTGCTTCTGATTGGCTGTTAACATTCCATGGTTAGGCATTCAGAACACTGCCTTTTCTTCTATATGCCTCTCTTCCATAACCTCTCTTAATAGGGAGCTTTATGGTAACACTAAAAGCCATTAAAGAGGGACTGAGGAGTTGACTCATGGAGTAAATTGCTGAATGTGAAAATTCTGAGGACTAGCCCAGAACCAATGAAAGCCAGGCATGGTGGTACACTTCTGTAATCTCAGTGCTCCTATGGTGAGATGGAAGGCAGCAGCAGGGGGAATCCCATAATGAAGAGAGGAGGTGGGCATAAAGTTCCATGCCTAGCCAAGGAGTTATTGGCAACTGGGAGCTGTTGGGAAGGGGTGTCAACTTCCTTTAAGGAGGCACTTGCCTGGCAGATTGAGCATGATACAGTGGATGGCTGTAACTCAAAAGCATATGGACAGCACAATTTCGACTAGATGGGCTTTACAAGATAATAAATATGAGCACAAAAAGCTGTGTGGAAAGGAATGAAAGCATGGTTTAGGGAGAAACCATGGGTGGGTGTGTGAATATGATTGAAACATATGATATTAAATTCTCAGATAATTAATAAAAAAGTTGACATTAGAAATTACTAGGATTTTTCTAAAGACGTTACTCTGTTAGTGACAGGGAATGTAAATCAGACAAGTCCTGGGACAACACTTCCCATTTACTGGCTTTGCCTCATATGAAAAGACATGATGATTTAGAGACATTAAAACCCTTATACATGTTGACTAAAAATGCTAAATTATACAGTGACCCTGCAGGCAATTCATCAGTAACTTAACATTCATTGAACAGATGTGCCTG